AACAATAAGATATCAATGAGTTATCATGAGACAAACGTCTTGTATAGGATGGTCATGGTTTGGTATCAATTGTGTAATACCTATGACCAATTGTTGCTATACCTATTAATTGACTTATTTTAACGTCATATGCGAGACGTCTGAAGAAAACCGTAATATGATTGAAATATGTAATGTTGAATGTTTACCGGGATAGGTATGAGGTTAACCTTCAATTATTTATATTAATCAGACATTGTTGATACCAAAATATGTACTACTAGGTAGGAACCTATCTAACTTTTCTCAGTAAAAGAATTGATAGGATTTTTAACATCATCAGATCCAGTTTCTTCTGGCTCTTCAGTAAATTCAAAAAAGAGTCACAAATGTTCCAGATCCTTCCAACTCGTTGACGAAAATCATCTCATATAGTACCGTGATTTATTTTTTGATATGTTGAGTCCCATATTGTTTGGTATATGCTTTTAAAAATTGTTTTGTCTTCATCATTGTCACATAATATTCCAGGTACCATTGTCTGATGATGGCCGTCGTGTCAAATCCGGTTACTTTTCACTGAAGATTTTTATATAAAGTTTGGTCGACCCTCTTTGTGTTGCTTGTTTCTTTTCCGAAATTACTTTGAAACACTTTGAGTTGTGGATGATTCTTATGATTCATTGTAGTTATTGACGACGACACCCAGCAAACATCAAATCTCTAGCCGGCTTCGGCAGATTGCTGACCATAGCCAAGCTGCACTGGTCAAACGTCAGCCCATTGAATGGCATATTGTGATCGTTTGCCTATAATTCAACTTGCACTGGGCCATAGCCTGGGCAGTGAATGAGTTCAAACCATTTAAGGCAGCAGGTCCTTAGGGAATTTTTCCGGCTATGCTTCAGAGGGGCCTGGGACTAATCACCCCGGTATTGGAAAAGATTTTCCGGGCTAGTCTGGCGCTGGGATATGTTCCGACAGCCTGGAAATCAGCAAGAGTAGTCTTCATCCCAAAAATGGAAAAAAGGACTACACAGTAGCAAAGTCTTCAACATCCTTCCTGCTCAAAGCGCTGGAGAGGGTGGTGGACAGGTTCCTGCTAGAGGCGCTCCTGATGGCGAGCCCCTTCCACAGGAACCAACATGGATACAGAGAGGAGAGCTCGACTGAAACGGCCCTCAATGCTGTAGTGCGAAGGATCGAAAGGACATTAGAATTCAAAGAGGTAACGCTGGGGGTGTTCTTCGACATAGAGGGGGCCTTCGACAAGGCGAGGACAGACACAATACAGGCAGCACAACAGGCCAGAGAAACTCCTCTAGCGGCCTATCTGAGGATGAGGGACAGGCCACGCGGAAATTGCGACATGGGTGGAGCAGGAGATCCCTATCTCCACCCTAAGAGTAAAGAACGCCCAAAATAGGCTGAGATGGAATAGAAGGCTCACCCTCACTATTCCAAGCAGGGAACAATGAGAAGAGAACAGAGTGGAATTCCGCCCGGGGAGTCTAGTATGTTATACGGACGGATCGCGCCCAACTGACAAACAGGACTCAGATGCAGGAATTCACCTAGAAGGGAAAGGCATAAGGGAGAGCTACGCTCTTGGAAAGTATACCACAGTTTTCCAGGCTGAGGTCTTTGCCATTCTGGCAGTAGCGGAGAGGCAAGAGGTGAAAGAGGGACCAGAGCAGAAGATTTACATCTGCTCGGATAGGACGAGGCACTAGGAGTATATTGGAGACGTATATGCGGCTGCAGGCAATCGAGAGATTTGGTGGCTGGTCCAAGCAAGCCAAAGACGGCTTGGTTACTGGGCAGGGATCGCCAAGTCTTGCGCCTTCTTATAGGGAAACTGACAGGGCACAACAGGTTACGCAGACACTTATCACTCATTGGTGTGGAAGATAGTCCCACTTGCCGTGAATGCGGAGAAGATGAGGAGACATCACTTCACTTCCTCGGAGAGTGTGAGGCGTATGGAAGGATAAGATTCGAAATCTTTGGAGTAGATAAACTACAACAGGAAGATTTGGTCGAATTAAAGATTGAAGTTCGAAAAGGACAACTAAAAGAGGGATGTGTAGATATGTGGAAAGCAGGGGTTGGCAAAAAGGGCCCATGGGGGCCTACTTGCCTGGCTACAGCCTCCCCACAGTACTACTACTACTACTGCACTGGGCCAATACTGTCGTATCATGTTCTTACCAACGTCATGAATATAGTTTGTTTATATTTCTGTTTCAATTGTAAAACATAATTTCTAGGACAGCGAAATAGCGCGATGGTTGAGGAGCCCCACTGGCCACTAGTGATCAGGACATCGGAAAATTGGTAGGTTTGGATCTCTAGATCAGATAATTTTTTTATATTGAACGAGGTGAAGATCATACTGCTCCTAAGGTGGCGCATGTAGTCAGTAACACAGCTTACACAGGATACTAATGAGCTGAAGGAACTCTAGGAAGGCCGATGGCCTGTTTTATAATTTTATAAGGTAATTTTACCTATTTTAATTATTGATATTGATATTTTTTATACGTGAAACAAGAATTCTGAATTGATTTGAGTGAGAATGTTCAACAGATATTATTCGATGTTCAACGTAGCAATGATATCATGTGCATACATATCATTGTCTGAACGAGAATACATATTCTCAACTCTTGAATATTTTGTTTTCAAATTCTTGTTTTGTGTGTGTTAGTCGTGGCCAGGAAAGTAGTTGTTATCTGTTGAATAAACCAAGAAAGGATTGATATTCCCATCACATGGAGAATGCGGATTATCAATGTTTTTCTTTATATATATACAGCCTGTCACATTTCAAGCGGCCCCTCCCTCTATATCTCAGCACTATAGGTCGCCTACTAGGTTTTCATTCAGATCGACAGCAGATCGTCTCAGCAATCAGTCGTGTGATATTAACCAAATTTGTATCGGTATGAAAAATCATCAATATGACCAGTTCTTCAAAGACAAACATCATTTTAGACAGTGCCGTGTATTTTTATTGAAATGAATAGGCATCAGTTTTTCATTATATCATATTAGGCATTTTTTCACAGGAAAACTGATCTCATAATATTGTTCTTCATGGTTTGAAACCTACATAATTATGTAGATTTTCATGAGATGCCTATGAAGGGTTCCAGAAAAACAGGCACATCTAAACAGCATTTTTGCGAACGTAATAATTATTTACTCGGAAACGGTACGTGAGTTCAACCTAAAAAAGTATAACTCGTTTCTCCTTCCAAATCATGATTTTCCACTTACCGGAGCCATTGAACGTTCCAAAATTCGTATTTGATTGGAAGTCACTATTTATTCGAGACTGAAAATGAAAAAAAATAAGCCAGTCCTGTTAATTCGGAATCAGATGATTTTTCGCATATGGAGGTTCGAAAACATGAGGAACAATAATATGAGGTTAGATTTTCTATAAAAAAAATGCCTTATATGATTTAATGAAAAATCAACCCCTTTTCAGTTGAATCAAAATGCACGGCACTGTTCAAAATAATGTGCATCCCTGTAAAACTGATTATATTGATGGTTATTCATACCACACCAAATTTGGTTGGAATTGCATGACTGTTAACTGAGATATAGAGGGGCGGCCGTTTAAAGTTAGACACGCTGTATATATATATTTATATTTATCCATTTTTCATGTTCATAATTTATTTGGGAATATCCTTTTTCAATAGTTTATAAATGTTGGTATGTATGTATGTATATATTCATGTATGTACATATCAATTGGCCATCGATTTTCCAAGAGGTCCTTCAGCCCATGTGTATTCTGTATAGGTTTCGTTACTAACTCCATACGTCACCTTAAAATTGAAACGCAACAGCGAATCGTGCGGAATCATCTCTGGCCGAGGCTACGGAAATCAGAATTTATAACTCGTTTCATAAATAAAAATTCTCTGCTCTGTCAGGAATCGAACCCAAGCAACCTTTCGGCGTTCTGATTGCTAGTCGGCTACTCAACCAATGCGCTTTTTCGACGTTTTGCATTGAATACACATCATGAGAGCCATCAAATTCGGCCATAAACAAGGCTAGTCGTCTGACTCATAAAATTGGTATGACAGAAATTCAGTAGTCAATTGAAGAATTGGTATAGGCAGACATGTACTGGCCCTGATGATGGCCAGAGTCTCATATTGGTTCTGGCCCATCAATATTAATCGAACCTTGCCCTAATTTCTAGCCAATTCTTGCCAGCATATCATGGGCCAGCATAAGAATGACCAAGGTAGTTGTTACATGAAAATCAATTGGTCAGATCACATCTCTTTCATCGGCAAATCACAAGAACTTAAATTTGGAAGGCGATCACAGGTCTTTCGAGCATTTCAAGAAGAAGAAGAAGGCAATGAGGATATCCGAACAATAAAACGAGTTTTTCTGAATAGCAATCGGATATAGCAAGACATCTACTCATTCTTGGAATGGAAATCTGCTTTTTTCCAAAATTGAATAACCATGTCTGGAAACCATCATATATTCAGACTTCCAATGTATAAATCTGATATTATAATTGAAATTTCTCAAGAATACAGCCATATATTTCAGAGCAGTCTTCCGCCAGAATATGAACCAGTACTCTATATCAAGTATTACATTAAATTTCAGTATCGATTCACTCGCAATAATCATCAAGAAATATATAATTTGATCCTTCTATAGCAACTTCAGGGTTCATGGATATTTCCACAAATTATAGGTGAGTACTCCCGAAGATGATTTGTGGAAAATTGGGCATGTAGAACTTCTTCTGTTTCTTCATCGATTATCACGCACTCACCATGAAACATCATCACGAAAAACAGAATTTGATATCACTCTTCAGGGTTCATGAATATCTCCACAGATTACACTCCTGAAGATGATTTTTGGAAAACATGACATGGCAATAGAATTTCTTTCCTTTCTTCATCAATTTTTACGTATCTTTGGAAGATTTTGACAATCAATGAACAATGAGATATTTTTATTTCCAGAGTTTCTTGTGACTGTGACCATTCATTCTATAACTGTTTGAAGTCGGCACACAAAATATATGCAGATTTGGTCGGGAAGACATATTTCGTGTATTCTAGGACGAAATGTTTCAGTAGCTGCAGAACAAATTTTGAGTAAGTAATTTTGGTTGTGCTCTCTCATACCTATCAGCTATATCGAAACAAAGCACTAATTGTAGTCGTTGAAATGAAGTTTTAAGTTCACAGATGAGTGATTGAATTATTTTGGCGGAACTATGTGATTTTTCCCCTGTTAATTCACTTGTACTTTGAGATTTTTATTTTCAGGGATGGTGAATCATGTGTGGAATATGAAACAAATCCGAACCGGGAACTTGTCTACAAATGGGTCGACTTACCTTATTATTGACTATTTACTGAACAAATCATCTATACAATCAATATACGTAACTGTTTAGTTTTCTGAATGTTTATTATCACATTCTCGAATGCTATATTCAGATAATTCCAACATCCTTATTGGGAACGGGATGATTTGACCCATTTAGAAAATTCGAAAATTATGCCCCCTCTTTATCCCAGCTATCAGTACTGCGATACCTACCAAATTCGAACAAGTCTGCAAAACCATCAATATGTTCAGTTTTCCAGGGACGAACATTAGTTTTTTGGAGATTGGTGTGAGCTTCAATTAGAATAAAAAGTGGTAAAGTTTTCATGAAATATATTATTGGGATATTTTCAACAGAAAAACTCACCTCATAATATTTTTCCTTTTGGTTTGAAACTTCCTTATGTGGGTTCTCATATGATTTCCATAAAGGATTCCAAACAAAAACATTCTCGATAAATAATTATACATTTAGCCAGAAACGATTGTTAAAAAAAAAAGAGAATATTTTGTTATTACTTTCAGGTCATAATTTTCCAACTATCCTACCACTATTGAACGTTACCGAAATACGCAGTTGGTTTGAATTCACTCTTGTTTGGGGGAGAAAATGAAAATATAGACAAATCCTGTTGATGTGGAGATTCGAAAACATTAATTAGGAACAATAATATGAAATTTCCTTTGTTGCAAAAAATGCCTATTATAATTTCATGACAAATTAAGCTCTTTCTTATTTCAATGAAAACGCACGGCACTGTCCGAAAGAATGTTCATCTCCAAAAAACTGATTATATTGATGATTGTTCATATCGGTCCGAATTTTGCAGGTAGGAATCGGACGACAAATAGCTGAAAGGGGAAGGCGTTTCACTGAGGCACGCTCTATATAATTTGGATCACGCCTTCTTGATTATTTCAAACAATGAAATACTCTGTACTTTCCTGTTATGATAAGATAGTTTCATTGTTCAGACTTCGACCTTGTTTTTGATATTGCGATATCAAGTCCGATATGTTGAATTTTTCTTGTAGGTACATACAAGTGTTATTATGTTATACAACAGACACTTAGAACTACATGTGGCAAAAATTTGATCGAAGCACTAATGATAAGTTAAACTTTTGCTAAAAGTCTTATTATGATCGAAAAAGAGAAGATCGAATGAACAAAAATTACATAATTCATCGAAATGTGATCACCCTGTTCATATCTTCACCTAGCACTACACAGAAGGTTTATATTATATGTCATGTTATAAATAATGAAACTCGCCAAGTCGTCTTCACAACGGTCAATTTTAAATTTATGTTGCGGACCCAACAGATGTCTATCATTTGTCGAAAGAAATTATTGGAAGAAAAAAAAATGACAAACATTGTTAGATTATGAAAATACACTCAGTTCCGAAAAAAGTGACGCACTTGATATTTGACCTATCTTCTTAACAAAAAAAATATTAGGCCAATTTTCATTTTTTTTTATTTGTTGGTAGGTAATGCATTTGGAAGAAAATAAAGAGGTGAACATTTTTTCGAAGCCTCCTTGATGGTGCATGCGTGGAATAACTCGAACCATGATTTATTCTTAATTTTTGACTCACCCTGTGTGTTAATTGATTAATGGCATAGAATGTGCTTACGCCCTATACGAAAGAGGCTGCTTTCGCGAGCACTTTGTTTTTCTATTCATTGATTTATCTCCAAAATTTTCCGAATTACAGCTTTTTTTGCTGAATCCTTGCAGATTACCAACTTTCTGAATTCATCAAGAAACAATTTTCTAATGAAATAAACTGGATACCAATTATTCTAAGAAACATTTTCATTAAACACGAAATTATAAATTGGGATGACTGCTTAATACCGTGTATTGCCTCCTTTAGCAACTCTAAGAACTTTTAATCTACGAGGCATACTGGAAATTAAGTTGCTTATCGTTTCCATTGGTATACGATCCCATCCTTCCACTAATGCATCTGCCATTTCTGCGAGACTTTCCGGAGACCTCTCGCGAGAACGTTCCCTTCTCTATAATTCATCCCACAAATGTTCTATAGGATTTATATCGGGGCTTCTCGCAGACCATTGAAATGTGGTAATACCAGTAGCTTTTAACAAGTTTCACACTATTGCTGCGGTGTGTGGTTGGGCATTATCCTGCATCAATATAAAATTGTTGCCAACTAACTCTGCATAAGGTAAGACATACTGCTCTGAAATGCCAATGTAAATTTGGGCATTCATCGACTGCCTCACTGGAAAAACATGAAGGGGTGTCTTTCCATTCATTGAAATCCCTCCCCACACCATAACGGACCCACCATTGAAACTGTCGCATTCTGTTATTGAATTTTGATCAAACCGTTCACCAGTTCTTCTCCACACTCGTTTTCTTCCATCCACCATGTTGAGGCAAAACCTTGACTCATCCGTAAACAAGACATTCGACCATTCAGGAATATTCCACTGTCCATAATTTTCAACAAAATTTCTCCTAGCAGCACGATGTTCGGGCAATAATTTGGGACGTAGGTCTCCTAGCTTTTAAATTAACTTCTTTTAGACGACTACATACCGTCTGCTTACTTACTGCAACATCACGAATTTGGCGGAGATCTTGCTGAACGTGCACCGCAGTATTTGATCGATTCCGTAAAATCGGCAATCTCAAGAAGCGATCATCTCTTGGAGAAGAGAACCGACCCTCCGAGCGGTGCTTCCTGTTTGTTCGTACTTGCGGATTGCTCTACGAGCAGTTGCTTCATGAACTCCCACTGCAGCGGCGTAACGTTTACTACGCCCATCGTTCACTAACGCAACTGATCTTGCTACTTGTTCAGGATTTATTTGAGGCATTTTATGTAATTTAAGTCAATGAAACAAGACACTTAATTGATGACATAACGACAAATGGTCAAATATGGAGGCATACAACAAATTAGTTGCTATGGCAACGGCATCTGTTTTTTATTTAAACAATGTGATCCTAACAGAGTACAACCCTATCAATTTTGAGTACTCTGATCCTTCAATAAATTTAATTTGTGGGATAAGCGTAGGGTATTAGCAAAAAAGCTGTAATTCGGAAAATTTCAGAGATTAATCAATGAATAAGAGAACAAAATGCTCGCAAAAGAAGCCTCTTTCGTATAGTGTGTGAGCACTTTGTATACCATTACTCAATTAACACACAGGGTGAGTCAAAAATTAGGAATAAATCATGGTTTGAGTTATTCCACCACCATCAAGGAGGCTTTGAGAAAATTGTTACCTCTTTATTTTTTTTCAAAGACAAATGCATTACCTACCAACAAATAAAAAGAAATTGAAATCGGCCTACTCTTTTTTTTTTGGAACTGAGTGTAGTAAGAAATTTTGTTGGGTGGTTTATATAACATTGTAATGGTTGAACAGAGGTATTTCAGGATAAGGCAATGTACCCCAAATCTTAACTCTTCAATCCTGCACATTCGACAGCCGGAAGGAATATTACGCCATTTTCCTCCTCAAATTAATTTTTTTCGGCTGATGATGGACACTTTTTGGACCCGTAACCCTTAACATGTCTCCTCGTCATGAATTTCGATTTGAACGTTGTTTAGACGACTTGGGAATTTTATTATATTATAACTACTTCACTACAGTTCAAGATAATATGGACTTCTACAGTAGTTTGTATATGTTCTGTATACGTTTCTATAATGATCTGATGAAATTATATACTTCTCAATAAAATGTATAGGTAGGTATGTTCGAATTTGCTTGCAATCATCAGCATGTTTGGAAGAAAAACAATATAATAGTTTGTCTATAATTTTTATTCATTTCAGATATAAATTACTACCCTATCATCATCTAATATATTATATGTATATAGTACGAGTAACCTATGCTTTACATCAACAACAACTATTTCTGTACAGTAATCAATTGTCTCAACAATTCGAGCCCCGTAAATATCTGAAATATGTGTTTTTTATCGAATCAGTTGAAATACGTATCCATAATATGGCAGTGATGGTTGAAAAATCACTATTTGTCATGGCAGTACATCTCTTGAGTTGAAAATTACACCTCTAGATGCAATTGACACTGATGTCATTTTACCTTCCAAACTGAACTCGTGACTATGTCTAACAGAATCTCCATAGAATTAGACATACTGGCATTACAGATGAAAACATCAACTCACTCCACTCTGATATGAGAACAACTCGGAGACACTATGATATCATGGCATGGGATCCTGATGTAGATGAGCTGGGACATGAAAGTAACTAACAAAATTTTTTTCAAGGTCCAGTCAGATCAGTGTCGTAGCCAGGATAGGAGTTGGCGGGGCAGGGGGCTGACTTGCCCCCTGCCGAAATTCCAGTTGATGAAAAAATATTCTAAGGGGATTCAAATATTGCCAAATTGTAGGAACGCATATGAGGAAATTTATACAACGCTGACAACAGGGTCGACCACTTTCGCTCAGTGCTTAGTTCGTGCGTATTGGTGTCGTAAATAGCAAGTTGCATTGTCATACCAGAAGAATTCCAATTTGTATTCATACAAGAGTTTTATTGGTCACAGTTTTACAATTATACAGTTTTTCCATGAAAATCTAGAACGTCCTGCTGATTATCAGACATATCAGACAACTTTACTAGCATATTTCAATAAAAAAACTTCAGTTGTTGAACTGAAATATATAAATATCTGATATTTCATTAGAATTCTGTTACATTTCATTGTCTTATTCAATTAATCATTCGTTT